CAGCATAAAAGACAAGGCATTGCACATAAGTAGAAATGTAAATGGTAGAAATAAACAATTCTAAAATGTAAAGATCTCAAAATAGAAATAAAACGGCATTAAAAAAGTTAAAATATACAAGTTTAAATACCAATTTACAGTAAACAAAATAAAAAGCAGCGAGGGAGCTCTTCAATTTTCGGACAAACTTGTCGTCTGTCTTGCACACCTCCAAACTCCTTTTGTTTCGTATGCCTAACCACTGCATGTATCTTTACCCTTTTCTCTTGTTTTTTACCTCAAGATTCGACCTCATCCTGGATACTGTCGGGGGGGACACAGAGCGTTGGGCGCTGACCCTGCTTAAGCCTTGGAGTGGCGCCAAGTATGTGACCCTTGTGACGCCGTTCCTCCAGAACACTGACTTACTGGGCATCGCTGACGGCATGATGCAGACTGCTGCCACGGTGGCCACCAAGGCCCTCAAGGTAATCCTGGTAGATAACAAAGATGCAGCTTGATAAGTTATATATGTATTGGAAATGCACTGGTTGTGCCCTTAAATGCAATTGATCCAATTGCAAAATGTTAATCACATTGGCATATGCGACAGAATGTTGCTAAACGATATGTTGCTTTTTGTATCATCTTGTTACCGTTGATTTGTACCTATGGAGTGCTTCATGGATGACATGTTTTTGTATGCCAAAAACATGTCATCCATGTTTCCCCTTTTCCATTGGCTTTTGGATTACTGAAGGAACAATAAACTCTGTGGCAGACAAACGTTTATGAAAATGAAACCTTTTCCCTGCAATCTTAACAAATGAACTCGACTTTAATGATTTTCAAGCATAAATGTAATCACTCAAAGGAAAAATATATTTTTAGTGTCTAAATGAATTACATCATGGTCGCAATGCTTCAACTTTAACACCCTGAGTCGATGAGTTTCCTCATGTTTGCCCTGATTGCTTTGTCGTCTCATTTAGCCACTTGTGTTAAAATCTCTCAGGCGTCTGTTAACGACAGACCTTATTTAAAGCGTCTAACCAAAATCCAGTTTGAAACTCATTGACTTAGAACCGAGTGTGCCGAAATACTGACACATTTCCAGGTTTAAGGACTCATTACTGCAGTACTCTTTTTCTTCCCATTTTAACGTGTCAGGATATCAGGATTTCGGTTAAACATTTTGCAAACTACGATCAGCTTCCTTGGTCTAAAAATGTCCCTGCAGTAACAGACATCAGAAGATTGAGTTAAGTTAGGCTGTGTTTACGTGCACTACATGGCCAAATGTATGTGTTCATCTTAACAAAGTATGTTGACACGTAGATTATATCCATAGGTGCTTGCTGAACATCTCCTTTCAAAACCATCGGCTGCAAAATCATTTGTATTTGTGCATGGGGGAATTGTTGCACCCTATGTCCCTGTTTGCTGTTGCAATAAGAAATCTTTTTATGGGCACTAAGGGGCCCGGACTGAAGGTCATTTCGCTAACGGAAACTATACCATATTACCATGACTAAGAAAAGACAATGACGAGACAGGACCGTCGTCATTAGACACTTAATTGACATGCAATATTTTTGAGAACATTTTAAATTTGTATTTTTGAAGGAAACAAATGATATTTCTTTCTCTACCAGGTCTACACTGGCAGCACAGTCAGGAGGACTGTAACTAACTGCTTAGCGTGCATTTAGCAACAAAAGCAACAAAGCTTAGGAGAAAGACAAAGTCATATTTATGTTTTATATCTTTGGTGTAATATTTGTGTTCCTTTTTAAAAGGAAGCAGCCCAAAAAGATGACATATATCTTTAAAGTCCTCATGCAATGAACATGTAGATTCTTGTGAGTGGCTTTGTACCTGACAACATATGTTGATTAAAAAGAAATTAGACAAAAACAGAGTTGTTTTTTTTAGATTATCTAATCACAAAATCAAGTAAAACTGTGAAAGACTTCCTCTCAAATAAGATGCTCTCATCGGCCATGATGCAGACTTGTGATATATTTACTATTGCTACAGGTTATTTCACGTATCTGATATTATCTTCCCCGAAATAGAACATCATCATTAGTACATTTGCATTATGTAAAAAATACATGTGGTTTTACTGTCAGGGCAACTTTAGAACATAAGCTTAATTCCCCCCCCCACACACACACACACACACACTCCCTGGAGATCAGTACATCCTGTCAGAGAGTTGTGTGCACCATGCACAGAGCCGGCTTGGTGCAGCTGTGGCTGATGTGTGCATGACACCACCTCTTCTGACTCCAGGCACTAACCACTAACTAACTTCCTTCTTGGTTCAAGGTCTGGTTACACCCAGAGCCAAATGTGTGTTGCTTTATTATCCTGTTGAGGTGTTTAGAATGATGTTTTACATGAATGGCGTTTAGAATAAGTAATTAGATGTTTTGTTTCTAGAAGTTCTGAAAAAGTTCTGGAGATGGAATTGACTGTCTGGGAGTTAAATACGTTTGTAATAAGTGAACATGATGCAATTTCCTTTCCGTTCAGTACCAAGGAAATGTGCTTTGACACATATCTATATGCAGACAGGATGTGTGGTGGAAGAAATCTGTTGAGTATATCAAGCTATTTATTCAAGAAATCATCAATGTGACGCAGATATTGGCACCTGGGAAAGAGAAACAGCATTATCAACACCATATATGATTGACAACAGACACAATTAATAATTTTGTTGAACTGCTTTCATAAATATTTTATATTAAAAGTGGATCAAACCTTTCACAGTAACGGGCACTGGGATATGTCCATTGATACCTTCATGGGAACCTCACTTTACTCACATTTGTGTTTCTAAATGGCCTACCAACCCACACACTGTGAAATATCTCCGTCGGTTTTTCTTAGGTCAGAAAGAATTAGCTTCAACAAGACATTCAGATTTGAGAGAGTTAAGAGAAGACATCTTAAATAAAGTTATTTTAAAATAGTAAAATAATCTTAATCCTCAGAAGATGATAGTGGTTCATCATCATTGCGTTCCTCCAGACTTAATTTCACCTGCAGTTCATTTCCCTAAGCGTGAATAGTCAATACTACTCTAATAGTCTTTGGCACTTCTAATACCATCTTGTCCTATCGCCTACAGATTCATTTTCAGAACCGAGATCAGACTATGCTGCCTGAGTAAGATTTCACATGAACTTTAAACTTAAGGGGAATGTGGAAGGGGCTTTATAAGAGACAGGGACAGCCCCAGAGAAACTTGCCCTTCTCTTCTGTTTTCCTGTTAGCCTTCTGAAGGGAACAGAAGAGGTGCAGAAGGACTTGAAACAGTCTATACTGGTACATCTTAGGATGGGGGTGTTTGATGCTTGTGAAACAATACTATTTAAAAGTAGAAATGAAACTTAAGTAGCAACTGCATATTTGTATACTGTAGTTCTATTTCTTCACTTCCTTTTCAGCATATAAAGAAAGTGCCACATTATTTTCAGATCCTGAACTATTTCCTTCCTGACTCTACTGTGTGTGTCACCTGACAGTCTCATGTAGTGTGACGCCTTAGAAAATGCTATCTCCACTCCACTTCTGTAGAAATAGAAACAAAATGAACAGCCGTACCGCCCACATTAGCCCGCTGGATCCTGAACTGCCTGGTGCTTCAGACAATGTGATATAAGACTGTGAGAGGTGCTCTCCCACAGGGAGGATCTAGTTAACAGCAGCAGTGTCTCTCATTAGCTCTTGTCTTTTTCAGAGTCATACATTTTAAATTAGCCTGAAGTAAACACGTTCATTACTACTTCATTACTTGAACTTCCTGAACACACACACACACACACACACACACACACACACACACACACACACACACACACACACACACACACACACACACACACACACACACACACACACACACACACACACACACACATACACACACACACACACACATACATACAGTATTACACATGTATGTCATGGCTTGGTGCATACACACTTCCCTTTTTTATAATTTAATTGTTTTAATGCTCTTAAGACTTACCCACCCAAATGATAGGTCTCACTTCTGTACACTATTTTATTCTAACACTTATACTTGTGAACCCTTTGCCTCAAGTAAGCTCTACTGTCACTCACAGAAGAACACATCCTCTATTCAGCATTAAATCTGACCGAAGTCAGAAATAAAACTAAAATATGCACATTACCATCATACCAACAGTCTATAGTCTCACCAGATCAAGTGAATTAAAAAAAAAGGAAAGTAAATTATATTTATGAAGACAAATTAGATATTCCAGTCGCAAGGGCTAATGGTTTGTCCTTTATTACAGGACCTAGCAGCACTGAGATCAGCTAGAATGCTGGGAATTAGGAAATCAGTCAATCAAGTAGTATCTCAGCTTCAGACTTGACTTTGGTGCACTGCCATTATCACCAGTAATGTTTCTGCTGTGCTCAGTTCAACAGGATTTAACAATGCTCTATGCCTTTGCTCTCCTTCTGTTTTCTTGTAGCACCTCGTCAAAGGGGTTCACTACCGCTGGGGGTTCTTTGCCCCTAGTGGTCCTGCACTGGATGAAATCAGTGAAATGGTGGATGCAGGACAGGTACATTACCACCTTTTTGTTCTCAAAACTTTTCAGGGATGATAACAAACTGACATGTGTGTTTATAATTATATATTAAATGTAAAAACAAATGTGGAAAGTTCACTCCTTTTGAACTAGAGCATCACAGTTACAGTCACAGCAGCAGGATATATGACCCCTCCCTTCCTCTCCCTTCTCTCTTCAGATCCGGGCAGTGGTGGAGGAGACTTTCAGTTTTTCCCAGGTTCCTCATGCCTTTGAGAAGATGGAGAAAGGCCACGCTCGAGGGAAGACTGTGGTCCAGATCAGCGAAGAGGACTCGTAGCACCGACTCTTGGAGGAATGCTTTGCTGTACTGCTCTACATTTGTGTGGATGACTGTTTTGAAATGAGATAGCTAATATAACAAACTGAGTGTCACAGAAACAAGTTATTAAAATCTTTTATTTTCTAAAAAAGACAAAAGAAAGAAAACGGCATTCTTATTTTCATGTGCGACAGCTTTCTCTCATACATTCACATATTTACAGCAGTGGGCAGCATAGTTGTTGCAGTTCTGCTTTGAAATCTCATCTCAAATATATACACTTGATGCTTATGTACAACTTGATGCAGTAGGGTACAGCTTGTGAAAAGTCCTAACAAGATATCCAAACTCTACAATAGATCTTTTTTAATCTACATTAATACAAAAAGAATACATCTTTGGAGTGTAGTGTGCACGTCAGACTTCACAATGCAGCTCTCAATATACACTATACATTCATATATGCAGACATTATGATCAGAAATAAGACAAAGGAACCAGTAGAAATGTACCATAAAGTAAAGAGAGGTGTGCAGCATTGAACCAGGGCTGAGTCCTCTATAAGCAGTGAAAACAGAGATGTGTGTGCATGGAGTCTTTGGTCTATAGTGTTGTAAATCTAGTGGCAAAGAAATATGTCATATTTGTACACAACTCAATCATTCACTCTACTCTAAGAACATAGTTATATTGTTGATCCAGTCAATGGTTCCCCTCAACAGTCAGAACTCCACACAAAGGTGCAATGATTGATCCGATGCTCCCTCTCTGTGGAGTGGGCCCCACGACGGAGCTGCATCACAGGGTTCGGTGTGAGTGGAGGCTCATCAGATCACAGGATGTCCAAGGTCCACCTTTGGTTCATTTCTCTTTCCTCACATATGTTCAGGACCACCAGGTTCTTGTCATACTGATGTCCACCTAAGACGATAAAACACAAGTCAGTGTGTTTGCACTGTAAACATTTCTGTTGACACAAACTGGTAAGTGGATCATTAAGGGGAGTCACAGGGGAATAAACATCCCCGTGAAACCACCTGTTTTCTGAAAGTTTATTTAAATATGCAAATAACTGGGTGAATTTAGGAGATTTCTACATAGACAAGAAGAGACACGTTCACCAAGTCCACCAACAACAGCGGGTTGCATGGTCTGGTTGGTGTCTAGGTTACATTTCGGCAAACTATATGGTGAATTCTCATTATATTTTTGACATACTATCTTGTAACTTTTTCATGATACTTTGAAAATACTATGAATATTTTAGGTATAGTATGTTGAACATTTTAGTATGTCGAATAAATAAAAAACATGATGGTATAGTAACTATACTCTTTGCAAACATTCAACATACTATACTGTGTAATGTTGTCTTTTCTGAAAAGTTTGACATACTATACTATGACTTTTTTTACTGACCATATTTGTTGACATCTTATACTAACCTCCTTTGGTTTTTATCAACATGTCATAAAAAAATGTCATAGCATAACTGCTATGACATTTTTAGACATACTTTACTATGACTTGTTTCATATATTTTGATATTGTGTTCAATCAATGCACCTCTTCAATACACCAGCAGATGGAGCTGTTGATTTAGGGTTAGGGTCATTGAATTGACTGTAAATCACCTACTTGAACCTTTTTAAATCATTCCTAAAATGTACCTGGACAAATACATGTTTGAAGTTAAGACAAAGCTGTCTGACCTTTGACCTCCAGCACCAGCTGAGGTTTCAGGACGCAGTGCACCAGACCATCAGGGCTGATGTTCCACAGGTGGTTGCCGTTGCCTCGCACCGGGGTGACACACAGCCTGCTGCCCTCCATCACAATAGTGCCTGAGGTCTCCAGGAAACAGTCCTCCACCAGCTGCAGACAGAGAGGCAGGTGAGGATGGATACACATGAATAAAAAACATTTCATTTCAAGTCATTCATTTTGTGTACATGCAAAGAAAAACCTACAATAAGCTACAATCCACTTCTGCTTTTGCTACACAATCCCCTATTTGCAAATGTGATTTTAGAGAGTATTTAAAATCTCTATTTGAATAAGCAATGATAGACAGATAATGTTTTGAGATAAATGTTTAAAGTAAGAACAGTAGCAAAAGCAAAACAAATAAAACATGCAATGTAAAGAAATCCTGGAGGTCTAAACTATAAACACTCCTCATCGTCCCATTGGTTAACTTTCCAACAAACTGCATCCAAACCTGTTGCTAAGTGTGAGATATCCTGTTGACTACCAGACACAACGGAAATAAAAACATCAATTCTTTGGCGGAGACCAATGGAATGAAGTCTCGTGGGAATACATGTTCGTTCCTGCTTTGCATATTGTCCTGATCACACCCATGTTTTCAGAAGATGAACACAACTGTGGCAGAAGGAAGAGGAAGTCCTCACCTTTTAAGTGTTTGTGTAACTATTCATGATTTTAAAATGTTTTTTTTTGTGGAAGTGTGAAAACAGAAACGTTTAACCACAAAACATGTTACTTTTGTTATCTTTTTTCTATATAATGCAATACACACATGCTATATGCAGATTAAAACGCATTGTAAGTGTTTTTATCATTTCTGTACATACATGGGCGCCTTTAAAAATGCTACCAAATATTCAATACAGCCATATTTTAAAATACTAAAACCGTTACTACATAAAACTCTTTGTGTTTCCAATAATATTTAGGGATCATATGTAGCTCATATACTGAAGATAATCAGGCCATAGGTAGTTTCCAGAGGGGGCGTGGTCAGTGTTACAGCTTTATATTGTGTGGTGGGGGTCTGATGTACCTTGCAGCTCATCTGCCCGCCCCGATAGAGCCAGACCTGCTCCAGCCCCCCCGTCTCCTCCACAGCCTGAACCCTCATCAGCTTGATGTCGTCCAGAGTCCCCGTCAGAGACAGCACACTTCCTGTCTCCCTGTTCCTCAGACGGAAGTACATCTGCTTCTGTTGGGGGGGAACATGCAACAACCCAGGGTCACATTTGGTTTATGTAAGACGCCAACAACACGTGTTTTATTCATCTGACTTGACTAATGTGACAATGTGTTTATTTGGTATTTTATGTTCCATACAATACATCCATCAGACTCTAACTTGATGTACAACACTAAGGACAACAACTTTTTTTGATATGATATATAATTATATCAAGGTTACAAGAGTTTTAAAGGTTCAATTGTTATTTTTTATTTATATTTTACTATCAGAGTGTGTTTTGTATGTGCATTCGATTAATTTAGCCTCAGATTATTTTATAAGGGCTTGCTACATGTAGAAGCTACATAAATACAAACATGCATATTTGGAAAAATGTGCAGCAATGTCCAGAATGTTTAATGTGTCATATGTTGAGCAATTGCAGCACAATCTAATAGAATGTCAAGTCATTTATTTTGTTCCAAGTAAGAAAAGTTGACGGAAATTCATGCCGTCTCTTTTTTCAGTATATTGTAGCTAGAGAAAATCTAAAGCTGAAAAACAATTCACCTTGTTTTTATTTGAATGTGTCTTGATTTAAATAAAGGATATTGTTTTTATTTAGTTGCAGTCTACTAACATATTTTGTAAAGCTTTTTTTCCATTTAGTTTGAGTTTGCTGTAATAACCCTGGCTCATATCCCTCCTTCCATACCTGGACTAATGGCCGCAGGGATCCGATTTGCTGCATGCCTCTGGACTTCCATAAATCCAGCACCTCACTCGGCTGCAGAAGAAGCTGTCGACCCCGGAAGTTACTGCCTTCATACAACACCCACCTAGAGAGAGGACAGCCATCGGTGTTAGTTCAGACTCACACATGTGCAGAGAAAGCATGGCACAATGTATTACAAATAAATCACAAATGAACAGTCTTTACATTCCCCCTGTGCTTCCTGATCTACAGCTGTGACATACACCTTGTGGCTTCCTCACATCCTTGATATGTTTACTGCTCCTAATGAGAACTCTAAAAGCTAAGCTAACACCATTTAAGGGAATTTCATGAGTGCTTGTTAAACCTCTCTGAGAAATGAACATTTCAATGTTTTTTCCACTGAACCCTTTTGTGCTCCTCTGCGTTAGAGCATGGGGCGGTATTTAAGGACATGTCAATCAAGTTTATAACAGCTGACTTTGATTGCTTGGGATGCGGTTACTGATTTGTTTCCATCTAGATGACTGACTGTCTCTTTATAAAAACAGAAAAGATAATAGAAGACATTTTAAACATTGACATACATTCCTCCCTCCACCACCAGGGAGCGTGTGCGTGTGTCCAGGCCGGCCTGTTGCAGGTTCAAAGCTTCATGACTCAGGACCACCCTGCGACCCCTGCAGCCCACCTTACTGAACAGCACGATGGAGGGCAGAGAAAACTCCTAAGCAAGGAAGAGAAGAAGATATGTTCATGTATTATTAGTCTAGTCCACAATGATTTACAAATAGTTTTGAATATAAGCAGATACTCACATGTCCCGTGGTCTGTATGGAGCGGACGGTGCAGTCTGAGGACAGGAAGCCCATGGCCTCTGCGTTGGGGTATTCTCCCTCCTCCAACACATACATGTTCTCTGTGAACTGAGCTCCTTCATATAACACCCAGCTGACACAGAGAGACAAACAGTATAGTGAGTATAAGTACACACTTATTATTGTTCTTCAATTGTGACAATAACTCTGCACCATTCAAATCAATTGTTGTAAAACACTGTACATTTATACATTCTAAAGCCTCGTTTGCAAACAGTGTTGGTCGTAAGGAAACACATTTCCTTACAGCTGTGTTTTGCTGTGGACTGGGATATGTGCCTGTAGCATTAGCAAGTCAGATAAAGGACATACAAACCAGCTTGTGGTTTCTTTTAACTATACAATTACACAGTTTGACTCCCAACCTAGTCAAGAAACTATATTGAATCAAGTGCACACAATCTGCCTAAAATAACCTGCAGAAGTGTTGCATATGAGATCATATAGGTTCCTATAGGAATAAATGGACTTCCTGTTCAATTTTCTTTTTTTTTAACGTGTATTAGCGTTTTCTTTCATATCCAACCATTTCATAACCATGTTGAGACGAAAGATGAAACTTGGGTCCCTCAAATGTTGCTCATTGTATTCACTTTGTTTGGAAAGGGCTTGTTAGTTGTCCAATAAGAGAGAGATTCATGTGCAACTTAAACTGAAGGAAAGGTTTTTATCTGGCAAAAGAAAAGTTTTTTATTTGGCGCTAAATAAATAAAAGGGTTTTCCTCAGCCAAGTCCAAATCTCTTACACCCAGAGTGTCCCTGACAGCTCTGGGGGGGGGGGTGTCTGGTTCAGTTCAGCGGTGCCTACCTGCCAGCCAGCACCCTACAGGACCTGGGGGTGAAGTCCTCATCCAGAGCCGCTGTGCTGTCCTCCAGAGACACCAGCCTGCCCTGGAAGTCTGCCTCAGAAAACAGCTGCACCTGTGACACATTGAGAAACACAATTGAGCAACTTAGCCCGAACAGAAAAATGAGCTAATCTGTTATTATAAAGTCTCAGATGAGGGGATGATACCTTGAATTTAGTCGTTCCCATCAGTGGGTCCTATAAAACCGACAGGAAGGAGTTATTAACACAAGCTTTTCACTCACACAGTCCTTATTAAAACAGCTGAACCCAACACTACCCCCCATGTGAAATTAGCCACATCCTGTCGTTAACTGATCCACCACATGATTCCTTACATGGAAGACCGGCTGGATGGAGGAGATCTTGGGGTTCTGGGCCCCCCAGTCCTCAGGGCCTGCGTAGAGGCCCCTCTCCAGGACGTAGAGCTCTCCACTGAAGCCGGGCTGCTCAAAGCACACCCACCTGCAGGGACACAAACACAACATCTCAAATAACTCTGCCTTCATTAGCTCTCTGTTGGACTTATTCAATGATATACTATGCTACATTTCATATATATAAAACATGTGATACTCTCCTATACTGCTGTGCTATTCTATATTACCTTATTCTACATAGTTGCAAATATTAATCGATTAGTTGTCATCCTTTCAAAGAAATTGGAACTATTTTGATAATCGATTATTGGTTTGAGTAATACAAAAAAATATCTGGACATGTAAAGAGAATTGTTTTCAAAGTTGCCTAACACAATAAGAGGGAAACCAAATAATGTGCTCAAAATTCATCCAAATTAAAACAAACTTCCTTCAGTTATTGTGATTACTCTTGTGTATATCTTATTTTCTTTATTTTCTTGTTTTATTTCTATATTAACTATACTTAATGATGTGTCTTTGGACTGCTGTAACACTCTACCTTTCCAATCTAGGGATCATTAATCTTTTTCCTGTCTTATCGTATTGGAGACAGGTGAGACTGTCTCCTCGTAATCTGCCTGTCTCTCTGAATAAATCACTGACTTGGACTGAAGGCTGCCGTCATAAAAACATAAAGTCCTTTCTTCTAAGAGGTTGTAAAACGAATCAGCGGGCGCAAAGCAAACAGCAGAACATTATAAAAGATGTTGATAAAGATTTAACAAATCCACTCGGGTCAAATGTGACAAAAAGCTGCTCCCTAAAAATTGGTTTCAAATATATTATTCACTTAAAATGTGTATATAACCCATTGTGAAATGTTTAGGTACTGATTTAAAAAACGGTGCAGTATGTGCTGTGCCTGAATCAAGTCTCTTTGCTGAAACTTAAAATAAGCTTGTAATTTATATATATTTTTGGCACTCTACTTATTCATATCAGTGTAAATCCTTGCCCTCGAGAGATTGTTATCCTTTGTCAACCACACCCTATCAATTACTCAAATGGATCAGGTTAAAATATTATTCCTAATGATATCCTCCAGTGTGTGTTTGTTTGTGCCTACAGTGACAGAGTGCTGAGTCACGTATGGAAGGTAAGAGGAACACGCCCAAACACTGTGAGGGCGCGGAGTCTAACTATTTCCCTCCTTTTTTATGACTTCTTACTATGGGAGTTTTCCTTCTTTACTTACACTCCACCCATGACGTTGGCAGACTGTGTTTTGCAACCATGGGCGACGTCCTGCATGTTGGGGACAGGTCCCAGCAAGTCCACATTGAGCCCTCGTGCATCAAAGTGCCGGTCCATGAACAGTTTGACGTGAGGGGAGAGGTAATCCTAGGGAACACAATACAGGGAAATGATAAGAAAGGGAACTTTTTCTACTTCTCTCATTTCAAGTCTTTCAGGTTTCCAGTTCATTAAGAATCAACAGGGGCAGAGCGGGAACTGATGAAATGACCAGTGCACTGTGAAAGGTGGATCAATGCAGAAACACCCCAGCAATGAGAAGGAAACAAGATCTTGCAGATGAATGTTTGTATTATATTACAGGTGACACTTACTGTGCACACAGGCCGAAGTGACAGGAGCCCATCCTCAGACCCCCCCCAGTCACTGCAGTGAGGATACTCCCCCTCCTCCAGGATGTACTGCTGCCCCTCAAAGTCCGCCTCTAGATAACCCACCCAGCTGCAAGGACAGAACGGAAATAATTCACAAAAAGTTCACAATTTCTTTCAGCAATCATCTGAAAGTTTACTTTTTTTTTTAAAGAAGAAACTGAGAATATCTACCTAGACAAGTGGTCGGATTACTATCAACGTTTACCATGAATCCTATTATTAGCTTATTGACATGTTTTAATGCTTTGAAGATATCAAACTTTAAAGGGGTGTGGCTTAGCACATAAATAGGCTAAGTCAATCATTACAGAATTGGCAAAATATGTTTCATAACTGATACTATGTGTGACTCTGCACTGTGTATGACCTTGCAGCTGCCTCTTCTTGTGATAGCAGGAGGCAGGGCATTTCAGGTTGTTGATATTTATGAGAAGACACATACTTCTCCTAAATATCTCATTTCTATGAGGCGTGAAGGAAGTACGTGGCGCTTTCCAGAAGACGTCACAGATGACCCCGACACCTTTCCGACACCTGCTGATGATATTAGCCCCACCTCGATTTACGACTTTGTTGTTATCTCCGTATTTTGGACTATATAAGCCTGATGTTTTTTGCTGCTCCGTTGAGCAACCCATGTGTGTGAGTTAACCCATATCCTTTGTATGTGATTTGTGTGTGAGTTAACCCATATCCTTTGTATGTGATTTAACTCTGCTCCTTCTTGCAAGAATAAATTAGAACCTGATTATTGATTCTCAACCTGGTGTCGAGTGATATTTTCCTAACATAATAGTGTTCAACTATTTTGAAACGGCTCCATACGGGGTGCAAACAGTTCCAAAGTGGTGTAGCTCTGGAGCCAATTTAGCCATGAAGCAATGAAAGTGTGTCCAAACATAATAAACTCAGACAGATACTTACAAACCACCAAGTATCTTTATAGAACCCACTGCAGACAGGGTCTTCTTTTTCTCGTCTGGTTTGCCCGTTTTCTCCTCTTCCAGTTCTTCTTGCAAGTTGTACACATCACCCTCAACCTCTATGCACTCTCCGTCAAAGTTGGGCTTCTCAAACACTAAGGCCTGGGGAAAGAAGGAGAAAAAGGAGATGAGAGGTCATTGTAAAGACAGGCCATGGATGTGTATCTGTCTACAGAGTTTGTTCCCCTAGTGTATGGTTTGGCTCATTTCTGTCCTAAAGTATAATGAAAATCATTCTTCAAGTTACAGTGACATCCAGCCTACAATGGAAGCTCTGGCAGGCAATTGGAAAAAAAGTTTTGCAAGGATCCTATGTGAAATAAAGCATTGTTGCAAAAAGAGGTTGAAGTGCACCAATCTATGCACTCTTAATAAAACGTACATATATTGTGTGTCTACAAGTAATGTAATATTACATATATTTTGGCAAGAAAACATGTAATACTTTAATCCTATTTATAACAAGTGGTAGTGGTGCATGTCAGCCTCTTTCTGCCACCACTTTCTGTTCCCCAGCCTGTTTCATAGATTACAAATAAGGAAGGAACTTAATGGATTTATTAGACTTGGTCAAAATTGATCACCAATATCTATATTTTTTGCATTTCGTAGAATACATGAAATACACACACAAAAAAAACAGTTTAGACCGAGTCTTTATTTCTTTGAGTATTGCGTTTGAGCTGTATGTAGGACATTTAGTGTATATTTCCTTTGGGAACAAACACTTTTAGTGGAACCAAGAACGGAATCTAGTTGTTTTCAATGGTTCCAGGGTTAGACAAATACATAAATGAAAAGCTGCTATTGGGTAACTTCTTTCTTAACATGGAAAATAATTAAAAGCTTTGCAGTCAGCTCCCCTAAATATTTCAACTATTATTTTTTATAATGAATTGTTTAGTTTAGAACTGAATTTTCCCTGCTTGTCAACCATTCGTTTCCTCTTAAAAACATTTAATAACTAATGGTTAAAAAAAGGAACATCTAAGACTAGGTGTTGGCACTTCCGTGGTGTCTGTAAACAGCAGATATTTATAGATGAAACAAATGTAACACACCTTTATTTCATGAGGATGCTCCACCTTTATCGCTCCCTGTCATGAAGAGATACACATACATGTCAGACCAAGGCAACTTACAAAAGGACATTATAGTGGAAACACATATTCTATACTTCATATACTGTACCATGCGGAGGGGTCTGAGCGAGCCGATGAAGGGCTGAGGGAAGCCCCAGGTCTCTGGGCAGGGATACTCCCCCACCTGCAGCACTCCCACAAACCCTTCAAACCCTGGATCAGTGTACACCAACCAGCTGGAGACACAGACACAGCATGAACAAGGGGAAAGGGAGGGAAGGGAACTTTCCACTGAGGGCATTTCCCTTCGCAGTGCTCTGAACAGGCAAATCTGTATTATCATATTACACATGAGTAAAAGGACTAAATACTGTACTTCACCTCTAATCTAGTAGAACTATGAAAGTAAGATAACCATCAATCATGAGCAAGAGTTACAACTATGCTTAAAGAATGGCAAGCTCTAGCCTGCAGTGTGCATACCTTCATAGACAGAGTTTGATTTAAAACTACCACACCAACAATGAAACTGAAATATGTTTCCAAAATGCAAAAACCACATTTACATAGACTCCTTGTTACTTTAAATGAGTCGGTTGAACTTACACTCCAGAATGAACCTTAATGGAGCCAGTGGTCTGCGGCATACTGTACGAGCCAATCTCCACAGTCTCGTCATAGTAAGAGGTCATCCTCCCCATCCCATTGACCTCAGGATACAGGTCAATATGGGGAATGCTATAGTCCTGTAAACACAACATAAAAATAAAATATTGTGCATTTGAATTGTATCAGTGCCCATGCATTTAAAAAGAAGCCAGACTTTTCTATTGGTACATTTAAATATAAGAAATCCACATAAAATACAAATATATAGTTAGATCACAAACGGTCTGCTAAAAAAATAAAATACAATACTTACCAATAAATTATTGAGGTACAATATTCAGGACTTTTTTTTAACAAATTCCACAGGGATCATACGTGATTGGAAACAACATAACAGAACAAACAGTTACAATAACAGTATGGAAACAGTGTGAGAGGTTAACGTACTCTAACTGCCAGTCGAATAGAGCCTATGACCATAGGTGCTGTTGGTACAGGCTCACCCATTGCATCTAGTGTGGTCGGGGTCCCTTCCTCTGCCCACATATTCACTATGTGCTCCGTAGGACCTTCCTCCAGGGCGATGATACGACCCTGGAAGCCAGGTTTCTCATAGAGCAGCCAGCTAATGAAAAAGAGAGTTACATTGTCAGTAATCTTGCAGTTTATGGAAGGAGACATTTTACACCTGTAGATCACTCTGTTAGGTAGATGTTTATAAGAACAAGTACCAACATAGACTAAAATATATATCAAATACACTTACCATCCTCTGATGACTCTGACTGAGATGACAGGGGACAGCTTCATCGTGGTGGCATCCTCTACATCACAGTACAGTTCAAACTGCTGCCCTCCAAATTGGTCTTGCTCATGTACGACAATCTGGATTCAAATAGACATTTCATTAGAACATGTAGCAGCAAGCACCATAATATTGACTCAAAACTCTAGGAAAAAAGCAAGTAAATAACATGTAATCATACCTTTCCAGGCCTTTTGTGGAACCCTCTTACTGCAGGTGTCTGAAAGAAAATGTAATCATTTCATCATGAACTTAAACTTAAACTTCAATTGTTATCTTTTTCAGAGCTGAATTATATGTATATATTTATCCCCAAGTGTTGATTTGAATTTTTTAGCAAACTTTGTCTAACATTTATCCACTACTTCTAGCTATGCATTTCATTTTGTTAACCATATTCAATAATGCTTACACGACATTTTTTAAACCAAATGGTAAATTATTTGTTGTCATATAAGTAGAGCCGCACTATAATCTATCCCTGGCAACTGCAGAAATAAAAACCCTTAAGGTACAAGTGTGTTGGAATCATTGAGGGAGAGAATTGAACACATGCCGTGCAGTAAGTAATACACAGACACATGTTTTGCATAGTCTTGCTTTGTTTGCATATAAATGCAAATATGTTGTGACGTGACAGTTCAGCTTTAGCTGATCTTGGCAAATAACCCCTGCCAGATGAGGCCATCCTGCTTTGTCCTGTCTTTACTTGCAATTCATTCAGAACTTTGTTGCAACAGCACCACAAAACAAAAGAACAGGATATGAGACTGAGTCATATTACCATGGAAACAAACTTGAAGAGAGAAAGCTTCTGTTAGGGCATAGCTCAAAACCCATTCAGGCTGTGGGCCACTATACCTTTTTTCTTTCAAAGTTGAATAAAAGGAAAAATGACCTGTATTATAAAAGATCATCATTTAAAGGATTTAAACTCCTACCTTAGGCTTAGGTTTAGTTAGTCCATTCAGGGAAGTCTGCTGGCTGTTCTCGCTGGTTGGAGGCAGTTCTGCGGGGCCCTTCAGGCTCTCTTCGACATTTGGTACTTCTATTGGGGTCTGGTCCATTGTCGCACCCTTAGGACCTAGTTCAGTTTTAGTCATATGTGTAGAGCCGCTGGAGGCCTCAGACTCTGATTTGTTCTTCTTGAGGTACTTCTCTAAATGAACAGGCTGCTTTAACTCTGAGAATGACGGGAGAGCAGGAGGAGGTGGAGAGGAGGGATTGACTGCTGACTCACTAACTGCACCTATACCACCACCCACAAGTGGGCCTTGGTCTCTACCTTTCACACCCTTCTTATCTGCAGGCAGAGGTGAATCAAACACTCCTTTCTTTCCAAGCCAGAGCAGGTCCTGTTGTGGAGTAGAAAGCGTGCTATTTGTGTCAGAGGCAACTTCCTCTTTGGCCTTCCTGGAGGGCCGAGGGGAATTCATTAAGCTGGAGAGGATGGACATCCTCCCAAGTCGTGACGTCAGCTTCCCTGTCTCTTGTCCATTGTTATTTCCCTCTTCTTGTCCATTTTCAGTATTATCCCCCTCTTTGACTCCATCTTTGCCTTCCACCTCGTCAAGTGAATTCAGTTGGCCTCTAGATGTGTGATTGGCATTATCCTGTTCTCGTTCCAGAAACCGCCGTTCCCTACTAGCTGCTTTCTGTTTCATCACCATAGATAATAGGGGAGGGTCCTTAAAACTTGCGCCATTTTTCCCTAGGCCGAACTGGAATTGCTCTGGATCAAATGGTTCAAAATTGTCCTCAATGATAGGCGACAAACCAAGAGGTGGAGACGGGGACTTTTTAGGAATATGCCTCTTGGGAGGCAGTGAGAAAGGAATGCTGCCCTCCTTAATGCTCCTGATTAACTCGTCATAGTCATCAGGATCAAGAGATTCATCCTCACTTGCCGAGGCCTTTAGTCTTCTTTTATGTGCCTTCTTCTGCTTCGGATGCTCTAAATCTAACCAAGTAGATGGAGATTCCTTCTTTAGCTGGGGACTTTGAGATGTTGCGGGTGCTTCCGCTGTGGCAGCAAGAGACAAACTGCCGTTGAGTGATGGGCTTGCAGGCTTCTGTGGATCATTGAGGTTTCTGGTTTTCTCTTTTTCTGAAGTCTGCTGCTCCCGTTTGAAACCACTGCCTGTTTTAGTTTTTTCTTTGGTGTCTTCATCCTTCTTCTGAGTATCAGTGCTATAACGTCCCGTCTCTGGAACAACAGTGAGCTTGTCTTTTTGTTCTGCACCACTTATTTTGCTAGATGCATCTTTCACAGAAATGCTTTCTGACTCTTGGTGAGCATCTAACTTTGATGCCTTCTGCTGATTTTCCTGCTTTGTTACTTTATTTGATATTTCAACGCCTTCTTTCCTTTCTTTCATTTTCTTTTGTTTCTCATCATTCTTGTTGGCTGCTTTAAAATCTGTGGATTGACCAGTGACATTCTCTGGTTTATTAATCCTTAAAGGTTCATCTCTGACAACTGAGGGCTTCTGCTCCTTTTCTGTGCTATCTTCAAAGTTAGCATTCTCAATAACAATCTCATTCACCAAACTCGTCATTGGTAAATCCTTTGTTTCAGTCTTTTCTTTAGTTCCTTCTACCCTCTGAGTTTTAGTGCATTCATCCTTCAGTTCTTGAATTTGGCCTTCTGATTTCTTCTCTTGCGCTTTTTTTTTCAGGTCAGCCTTTGGGCATTTGCTTGTATCTGCTTTGGTAATGTTCTGATGTTGAACTTCAACAATTACAGACTTCTGATCCTGTTGGTTGCTAACTTCATGGTTAACTTCCGAATTCACCGTCTCATTCAGCAAACCCTCTACTGATGTCCCCATTGTTTCAGTATTCTCTTTAGCTCCACCAGCACTTTGGGTTTTTGTGCTTACAACCTTTGGATCTTGAATTTTTCTTTCTGATTTCTTCTCTGGCGTTTCTGCTTTCATCACTTCCTGTTTCGCATCAGTACTTGGAGGCTTGGATTCTGTCGATTTGCTTGTATCTGGTTTGGTTATGTCCTCATGACGATCTTCAACAATTACAGACTTCTGATCCTGTTGGTTGCTAACTTCACTGCTAGCGTTCACAGTTGACGTCTCACTCACCAAGCTCTTTACTGATGAATCCTTTGTTTCAGTCTTCTCTTTAGCTACACTAGCACTCAACGTTTTTGTGCTTGCAAGCTTTGGTTCTTGAGTTTGGTTTTCTGATTTCTTCTTTGGTGCTTCTGATTTTTGCACTTCCTGTATCACGTCAGTACTTGGAGGTTTGGATACTGTTGATTTATTTGTATCTGGTTTGGTTATGTCCTCATGTTGATCTTTAGCAATTACAGTCTTCTGATCCTTTGTTGATGAATCCTTTGTTTCAGTCTTCTTTTTAGCTCCCTCAACACTCTGACTTTTGGTGGTTGCAACCTTTAGTTCTTGACTGTTGCTTTCTGATACCTTTGGAGTTTCTAATGTCTTTGCTACCTTACCTCCGACACTCTTGACTGATGAATCTTTTGTTTCTGTCTTTCCTTTGATACCAGATGCACTTTGAGTTTCAGTGCCTACAACCTTTAGATCTTTCATTCGGCTTTCTGATTTCTTCTCTGGAGCTTCTGTTTGTACCGCTTCCTGTTTCAGGTCAGCCTTGGGGCAATTGGATTCTGTCGATTTGCTGGTATCGGGTTTGGTTATGTCCTCATGTTGATTTTTAACAATTACATTCTTCTGATCCTGCTGGTTGATAACTTCAAAGTTAGCGTTTGCAGTTGATGTCTTACTCACCAAGTTCTTTCCTGATGAATCCATTGTTTCAGTCTTCTCTTTAGGTCCACCAGCGCTCAAGGTTTTTGTGCTTACAACCTTTGGATCTTGAATTTGTCCTCCTGATTTCTTTTCTGGCGTTTCTGCTTTCATCACTTCCTGTTTCGCATCAGTACTTGGAGTTTTGGATACTGTTGATTTATTGGTATCTGGTTTGGTTATTTCCTCATGATGATCTTCAACAATTACAGACTTCTGATCCTGTTGGTTGCTAACTTCACTGCTAGCGTTCACAGTTGACGTCTCACTCACCAAACTCTTTACTGATGAATCCTTTGTTTCAGTCTTCTCTTTAGCTACACTAGCACTCAACGTTGTTGTGCTTGCAAGCTTTGGTTCTTGAGTTTGGTTTTCTGATTTCTTCTTTGGTGCTTCTGATTTTTGCACTTCCTGTATCACGTCAGTACTTGGAGGTTTGGATACTGTTGATTTATTTGTATCTGGTTTGGTTATGTCCTCATGTTGATCTTTAGCAATTACAGTCTTCTGATCCTGTCGCTTGCTAACGTCATAGTTAGCATTCCCAGTTGACGTCTCATTCACCAAAAGCTTTGTTGATGAATCCTTTGTTTCAGTCTTCTTTTTAGCTCCCTCAACACTCTGACTTTTGGGGCTTACAACCTTTAGTTCTTGACTTTGGCTTTCTGATACCTTTGGAGTTTCTAATGTCTTTGCTACCTTACCTCCGACACTCTTGACTGATGAATCTTTTGTTTCTGTCTTTCCTTTGATACCAGATGCACTTTGAGTTTCAGTGCCTACAACCTTTAGATCTTTCATTCGGCTTTCTGATTTCTTCTCTGGAGCTTCTGTTTGTACCACTTCCTGTTTCAGGTCAGCCTTGGGGCAATTGGATTCTGTCGATTTGCTGGTATCGGGTTTGGTTATGTCCTCATGTTGATTTTTAACAATTACATTCTTCTGATCCTGCTGGTTGATAACTTCAAAGTTAGCGTTTGCAGTTGACGTCTTACTCACCAAGTTCTTTACTGATGAATCCATTGTTTCAGTCTTCTCTTTAGGTCCACCAGCACTCAAGGTTTTTGTGCTTACAACCTTTGGATCTTGAATTTGTCCTCCTGATTTCTTCTCTGGCGTTTCTGCTTTCATCACTTCCTGTTTCGCATCAGTACTTGGAGTTTTGGATACTGTTGATTTATTGGTATCTGGTTTGGTTATTTCCTCATGATGATCTTCAACAATTACAGACTTCTGATCCTGTTGGTTGCTAACTTCACTGCTAGCTTTCACAGTTGACGTCTCACTCACCAAGCTCTTTCCTGATGAATCCTTTGTTTCAGTCTTCTCTTTAGCTACACTATCACTCAACGTTTTTGTGCTTGCAAGCTTTGGTTCTTGAGTTTGGTTTTCTGATTTCTTCTTTGGTGCTTCTGATTTTTGCACTTCCTGTATCACGTCAGTACTTGGAGGTTTGGATACTGTTGATTTATTTGTATCTGGTTTGGTTATGTCCTCATGTTGATCTTCAACAATTACAGTCTTCTGATCCTTTGTTGATGAATCCTTTGTTTCAGTCTTCTTTTTAGCTCCCTCAACACTCTGACTTTTGGTGGTTGCAACCTTTAGTTCTTGACTGTTGCTTTCTGATACCTTTGGAGTTTCTAATGTCTTTGCTACCTCACCTCCGACACTCTTGACTGATGAATCTTTTGTTTCTGTCTTTCCTTTGATACCAGATGCACTTTGAGTTTCAGTGCCTACAACCTTCAGATCTTTAATTCGGTTTTCTGATTTCTTCTCTGGAGCTTCTGATTGTACCGCTTCTGCTTCCTGTTTCAGGTCAGTTTTTGTACAATCTTCATTGTACATAGGTCGGAGTTCTTGAGTTGTATCGCTTTGTGAAATCTGTTCCTCCAGTAGTTTCTTTTGAACTTGAGTTTTGTCTGTCTGTGGTTGCTGTTGCAGGTTCGATTTTGGATGTTTGGATTTTATGAATTGGTTTTTCTCTGGTCTTGTAATGTCTTCATCTTGCTCTCTCACAAGTGTGGACATCTGGTCTTTCTGTTTGCTTACTTCAGCATTTACAATTGGAGTCTCATTCACCAAACTTTTGATTGGTGAATCTTTTGTTTCAGTCTTGTCTTTAGTACCTTGAGCACTCTGGGTTTCACTGTTTACTGCTTTTAGTTCTTGAGTTGTATCCATTTGTGAAAAATGGCTTTTTGTTGTCTTCTTTGGAACTGTTTCTGTTGCAGGTTGCTGTTCTAGGTTAGCATTTGAACCATTGGATTTTGCTGATCCATTAGCATTCTCCTCTGCTTTATCCCCATCTTGATTTCCAGCTTTTAACGTCTTCTGTTCCTTTTGGTTCCTAACTTCAGAATTCTCATTTGGTAAATTCTGCATTGATACTTCCTTTGTTTTACTCTTAGTAGTTGTAGTGCTTATTTTCTCAGCAACGTCAACTTGTTTGTCCCCCTGTTTTTCCTCCTTATCCCCGATCTTCTTATCTTTGGTAAGAATTACTTTTGGTTCCTGTTCATTTTCCTGATCACCACTCTCTTCAATTTCCTTTAAGAGGATCTCACATTGCTTCTTTGTGTCAACCAAACCGGCTGTATTGTCCTGGAGTGCACTTTTTGCTTGCTCAGACTTCTTCTCTTCCAGGGCATCTGTAACTACCGTCTGTATTCCGTCCTCTGAGACAGGCTGTGAACATTTCTTTCCTGATGAAAGATCTGTTGGCTTCTGTGGTTTTGTAAGGTCTTTTCTTTCTTCATCCTCAACAGTTACACGCTTCAGCTCCTTTTTGCAACTGCTCTGTGAGTCAGCGCTTTCCACCACAGTATCATTTAGCTTTTTATTTGGTTTTGAGTCTTTCTCATCTCTTTCACATTCTCCTGGCAGTAAAAGAGGCTCTTTGTCCATCTGATTTTCAACATTCTTTTGCAATTCACAAACAGTCACAGCCTCTGTTTGAATGTCCAAACCCTCTGCTGGTTTCTTGCCAACCTCCTCCATAATGTTCTCTTTAAAATCATCTGATAAATCTCTGCTCGATGTGGGAAATCTATCATTTTTAAGAATTTGATCCTTCAATAACTCATTTTGCTGCTCTGTTCTGGCCAGGTCAACACCAGTATCAATGGAAGTGCTTGCTAATACAGCTTTTGGTTCAGCATCTTGGTCTTTAGCAGGAAGACTATTTCTGCCATTATATTCCTTAGAAGGGACCTTATTTGTTTCTTTAAAGGAAACACTCCCTGGTAAAACATGATCCAGATCAGAACGTGTCATTTTGTCACCGTGAGTGCTGCCAACCACAACAGGTTTTGCTGACATATCACTTACATCCTCATAGGCGGGTATTGTGTCCTTCGCCAAAACGCCAGAGTTTGGCTCTGGAAGGCCTCTATCTTTGATTGAATCTGGTTTTCTGTTACCTATTAGCTGCGTTGTCTCTGAATTGTCTTTCTCTTTCAGTTCTTCTGGACAAATCTTTGGTGCTGTTTCCTGTTCCTGCTTGGTGTTTTCACTTTGAATGTGAGCTGTAGTGGGTTGCGAACCGAGTTTTGCACCAGTAACTACATCAGAAATAGGCGTCTGAGATGGACTTGCCTTGGCAGCATCACTGCTTAGCAATGCCTCAGCCCCTGAGCCTTTTAGTGGTGTAACTATTATTTGAGCCTTTTCTGGAATAATTGCATCATTGTTTTGTATTTGTTGGATGTTTGAAATATCCTCTGTTGCAGGACTGGTTATGCTCTCCTCTAATTCTTTTGACCCTTTTCCTTTTGTTTTGTTTTCACCTATACTGTCTGTGAGTTTTATTGCATGCTCTTTTCCTTCTTTTGATAGAGAATTGAATACAAATATGTCACCAATGGAATTGTCTTTCACTTGATCTGCTTTGACACTCTCAGACGCTTTGTTCTGATTTGAGTCCTCCTGTTTAGACGTGGATGTGCTCACAGAATTCTCAGTTGGTGAAGGTTTTCTGGATCTTACTTTGTTGGGGCTTCTCTCACCTCTTGTAGGAAGCTTGCTTACAGGCGATGGGACTGGACTTTTTGGGCATTTTAAGTCGCTGGGTTTGGAGAGCCTTGAAGAGAAGGGTTTCTCTTGCTTGGTGGGAGGTGGAGAGATACTAGTTGTGCGTGTGTCACTGTCTTCTTGGTTGATGCTTCTTTTAGTGGGGCGATTGGATGATCTTGGTGACAGCATACCTCCTGGTTGTGACACAAACAAATAGTTGTATGACAAACAAGAATACAAATCAATCTTATGCATTCTTGTCAAGTTAGGTGAAAAGATGTGTGGTAAATAGGAAGCTGGAGCAAGGAGATAAGCTTAGCTTAGAATAAAAACAGAAAAGCAGCACATCTAAAGGTAACAAAATAAAAATAAATAAAAGTATATTTACTCTAAAGCTTAATAGTTGTCATATTAAAGGTAGGGTAGGTAAGAATGGAGAAACCAGCTCGAGTGCGCTAGAATTTGAAAGTACACAACCGAAAATAATCTGCCCCTTCAGACTTCCTTACAGAGCCCCTCCTCCAACACACACGAATGCACACATGACCAATGAGGGATGGAAGGCTGACAGGCAGGTAGGCCATCCAGTTATCGGCTGCGGGCCGAGTCAGATAATTGGACGTGCTTTTTACAGCGCCACGGCCTCCACAGATGAAATATTTGTATATATTTATTGTCAAAGCATTTAATGTATTCATTGCTATCGGGATGTTAAGAGCATTCCATGGAATATAACAAAAAGTGTTTCTGAAGTGAATTACCTACCCTACCTTTAAAGCTCTTTGCGAAATGTAAAAACATTCATAATGAGTTTTCCACCAATATCGATCTGCTGGTTGTTTGTTGGTTTTTGTACTTGTACAAATTCATCTGTTCTATATTTCCAACTAAACCCTGCAACTTGATTGGATGCTGTCAGAGTGTTTAAAACAAGGTGGATTCTGGAAATGAAAAGCCAACTATGTGGGAATGAATTGCTAATTATTAAGTCATTGTAATTTAATTCCAAGTTGAGTTTCAATTTTCTTTTCTTTTTCAAGTCGATTCTAAATTCATCATTTTTTTTTATTGGTGTCTGACTCGAGTTTAAGTCATGTAACACAAGTCCACACCTTTGCTGTCAGCTACGGTCAAATGATTCTGAAATAATGACAGTATACATATGTTTTGTTTGTACTTACCTTTCTTGGGACTTTCAGGCAGTGGAGGTGGTGATGCACTACCGGGCCTCTCATCAGGAATGACTTCTTGCTGCTTTGGCTTCTGTTCTGTCTTGGATATGTCTGAATCGGTCTGATCATGTGTCATTCTTTTGAAGTCGGTGCCACTTGTTAGAGTTGTATCAACATTCTTCTTTCTTGTAGGAGATGAAATGGGTAATCGGCTCTTTAATGCCGAGGAGGCATTACTCTCCTGACGGGTTTGGCTTTGTTTTTTTACATCCAAGCCCTCCCTGTCCGTTTGGTGTCCTGCTTTAATAATACTCTCCTCGTGGTCATTCTCCAGGCCATTTACCAGCTTTATAGAGTCACTGACCTCATTTGGCTTTTCTTTAATAAGCTTTGTTCCTGTCTTGTTTGTTGTTTTTGTAGGAGAAATGTTCCCTGACAGAGCTCGGCCTCCCTTGGCTTCTTCAAAACTTTGTTTCCTGACAGCTCTGGTTGGACTCACCGGAGATTTCAAGGCCTCAGTGAACACTGACCCGGAAGCATCAGCCACTGGCATTTTATCTGGTGTCACTGGTGATTTCACATCAGCATCCGATCCTAACCTTTTGGGGATTTTAGACTTTGAAGCAGTTGGACTTAAGGGACCACTGGTGATTTGGTCTTTTAATGTTGGTAACATAGAAGCTGTTTTATCATTGCTAGGTTCCCTCTGTGCTGGAATATCACTGGAAGTTCCCACTTCTGTGCTCTCTGTGGAGGCTTTAGCCTTTGTTATCACAGGTTTGTCCTTGCTGGCAGCTGCTGATGACGGGGTCTTTGCTCCACTTGCTGTGGTATGCCGACTTTCTGCTGCTGCTTTAACCCCTCGTTTAGAGGGCTGAGCCTGAGCAGTTCCTTGGCCTTTTAACCCAGACCCAGGCGCTTGTGACTTTGCTCTGAACATGTCTGAGTTTGCAGAGATATCAGCAAAATCAGTGGCCTCAGACTCTGTTTTTTCTATAACTAGGGGTTCAGGAGTGTTTGTTTCAGAGTGTGTTGTGACGTCTGTTATTGGAAATGGCTCAAGGTTGGCATCCTTGAGTTCCACATTGTTGTTGTCCTGGAGGCTTGGCAGTCTGAAAGGAAAGAGAGTGAGAGAGACATAAGCATAGATATTTTAGAGTAACATTAGCAACCACTCACTGAATGAGTCATTAAAAAGGTACAATGAAAAGTGCATTCCTTTTTACTCTGCTGGGAAACGGTAAATAATCTGCATGCAAGTAAAATAACTTAAGCGGTAGTTGCGTTAGTGTCACTCTGGCAAAAGAATAATGTTAACTGTATTCCCTCACAGCTACATTAAAAAAAGATGTAATCAAATTACTGGTACATTATTATGCCACTTTCATTCTTTTTTTTAAATGCAGACACCTTATTTGATACTTAATATCTGAGTTTCTTATTTTCTAAAGTAGCTTTTTTCGGTTGTCTTACATAAAATACTTAAGTAAAAAACATCCTATTGATATTTATTTCTTCTTGTATTTCTTCGCATTGCATTTGATATTGAGGTCAACCAAAAATAACAGAAAGTTATCAGGTTAAATTACTTTCATATTGTGATACTTAGATTTAGTTACTTATTACATTTACAGGTTAATTCTTGAAGTAACCCTCCCAACCATGTTCATAAAAATGGCAGCTATGTTAGAGCATAGTTGTGAGACTATAAATCAGTCTTCAGGTATGTGTCAGGCAGGACCATTTGTAGCCTGCAGTGCTCGGTAACTCACAAATGTACAGGGTCTTGTCACACCACTATTCATCCCTTTTCTTTTGAGAGCCGTATCCTTACGTATGCAATGCCTTTTCTATATATGTGGCTCAGTGTAACCATGTAACCCTAAAGTCAAACAAAAGTGTTCACGCTGTAGTCGCCAGTTGCTCGTCCAGTATCCTAATGACTAACTTACAGTGAACACACACACCATAGGTAAACACATCAAAGGTGACCTTCATTTAAATGAAGCATAAACCTGACACGTATATCTAAGAAAGCAACAAATGCATTACATTTGTAAGGTAGTCTATAGCAGAGTTTTTCTATGATTGGATGTACTGTACATGAATATTTCAGTGCAGGTCTGTATTGTTTTCCTCTGGTACAATAGAGCTTGGGAACTCAGATCTCAGGTTGCACGCATGCTTAGCTCTCTAAAGCTCCCAAGCCTTGCCCCAGGATCAAAGGGACTATTAAACAGTAACCACAGAAAAATTATAACAAACTCACAGTTTCACTTGTGTTGCGTCTGAAGTCTTTGTAGTTGAATCTCTGCTGAGCTCCTCTTCCGCTGCTTCGTCCCCATCCAAACTTGTCTCGGGGCTGACGCGCACCTTGTGGGCAAACACTTTGTGCTTGGAAGGCAGATTCACAGACTTGCGCGAAACGCGGTGTTCTCTCACCCTTCGTTTCTCCTGAAGTGAACTTTGCTTTGAGCCTGTGCCAGTGCCAGGCTCCTCCGGCTGTGGTACTGTTGTTTGAAACTCCCCTGTAGTCGGTGCCAAGGAGATGTCTGATTCTGGCAGGCTTCCACCGGACGGCAGAGTCTCAGAGGGGGTGGAGGGGCGGTCTGCCGCGCTCTGGGGGAGAGAGTCGTCCTCAGGAATGACTGTGACAGGTATAGCCAGCACGGGAGGAGAGTCTGCTCTGAAGCCTTCCTCCTCTTGTTTCATTATATCCTTCTCTTTCTCCCCCTCCCTCCCCACGTCCTCCTCTGGTCCCAGGTGTGTTTCCACCCATAATGCTTTGTAGAAGACAGGAGAACCCCCTTCAGGCACTTTCTCTTTTTCAGGTGATGGGCTCCAATCCGAGGCTTCAGTGTCCCAAGAGAATACCTGACCCCTCCTCTTGTCTTCCCTCGCTAAGTACGGAGAGTCTCCGCCCTCCTTTTGGGTTGTGGCGGGGCGCGAGGTAGACGAACGAGAGCCTAAAGTTATTCCTTTCAAGGCGGTGCTGTGCCCCTTCTCTCCAATTTTCACTGACGTTTTCTTTGTTCCCAAGCTTATAGAGGTTAAGTTTGGTGACTTTGGGCCCTCAGCTGCATTGGAAAGGGAGATTTTAAATGTGGAGCTCTTATTCTCTGTATTTTTCACAGTATTTCCATCCAAACTGCTCAGCCTCCTGCTTACTTCCTCCGCCACCAACTCTGCAAAGCCTACGTCTGACTCAGCACTTGGTTGAGTTGTGGTAGCGAGATCCAGAGTGGTTGGAGTCACATTCCCAGACTTCCTCTCCGTGCTGGCTGTGCTGATCCTGCACATATGAACCTCCCTCACACTGCCACTGCCACTGCTGTTATTGTCTGCAAACGGGAGGTCTCCATCCACTGTCAACAGAGAGATGACGCTGGAGCCGCTGGGACTCGAGCTTTGGCTGAGTGTCTCGCCATACTCAATGTGTTTTCGAGATGGAGTTGGCGTCTTCAGCTCATCCTCCTCTAGGGGCAGGGGTGAAGATGGGGACAGGGGGGATGTTGGGGTGGTTCCATCGCTGGAGGCGTCTGAGCGATGCCTAGTGCTCTTCTTTTTCTTGTTGAAGAAGTGGGAGAGGCGATCCATCATTCCCCTCTTCTCCTCCGAACCCTGAAGGAGGACAGACATAAAGATAAAGAATGAGTTGGAGAGAGCAGCTGGCAAACTCTTTCATTTCTAGCGTTGCTATTGATAGAAAGGAAGAAAATAAAATAGGGAACGAAAACTAAAAAGATATGCTCTTCAACGGATACCACAGCTAGAAAAAATAGACATCATTTGCCAAATATTTTCTTTGAGGAACTGCAGTATTTACTTCATAGATTACCACACCTTAAAAACGGTAACGTAATTAATGTTAAAATGTAAAGCACAGGCACAATATAGAGTATTAGAGTATAAAACTACTGCATTCAGTTTCTGAAAAGAAATGCATGGAAAATACAGATGCACTTTTTGATCACACAGACGGATAAATATCTAGTATAATATAACTAATATATTTTTAATTACATAACAATTGCATGCATCTGTGTGGCAGAACCATGTCTTATTTTGTTTTTGCTTAAGAAATCGTAGGAAAAGATTACTACATCATTTGAATCATAGGAATTTACAATTAGTTTTACTTGATATAACACCAAAATTAGTGTTGTTCTGAAAATATACATATTTACTTCCAGTTATAAGCTTTGGAATGTCATTTTGGTTAAAGAAATTGTGGCTTCATTATGAAAAACACTGGGCCTGATCTTATGTAGTACAATTATTATGTCTTAAGAAAATATTTTGTATTGTATGTTAAAATTACCAATTCTTATTTTAACAAAACTAGAAAAATGTTTGACTATTTGTTATTCTTTTATTAGCATGTGTGTTTTCATAAAAGTTCACCTTCAATTTGTCAAACATATTGTCTTTTCAGGTTAAAGTTTAAAGGTCCCATGTCATGGGATACTAAAATAGATTTATATTGTGCAATTTTCCAAACTCACATTGGTTTCTCATACAGCATCTCTGTATAGTATGTGTATTCACTCTCTGTCCTAAACGGCTTGTTGGAGCTCCTGCCCCCCCCTCCCTGTGAGCCCAGTGGCCGTCTGCGAGACAGCAAGACACAGCGAAACCCAGCCCGAAACACACACACACCCGCAGCCTGGCTGGGAGTTTGTGTGTGTGCCCAGGCTGAATTCCGTGGTGTCTCGCTGTCTCGCCGACCCCACACCAGTGAGCCAGCTCACAGTGTCCCGCTCCTCGCAGCAGCGAGCCTCGCAACGTCCCGCCGAGTGTGTGTGTGTGTGAGGAAGTCTGCGGATTGGTCCAAACGTAACGGCTCCGCGGACGTAACGTTACGTTACGTCACTATACCCAAGAAGTAAACAATGGAAAAAGAGAAATCTCCAACGAGGCGTTCTGGGGCAGCATCGACAGGTCTTTTCTGTGTTAGAGTTTTACTCGCTACAGGGTGTACTTTGAGGGTTTGTAACTCTGCAGACCGTTTACATGCATAAAAAGCTACATAGCACACAAGGGGACGGGTAATAACCAGAAAAGCATGACATGGGACCTTTAAGGTAGGGTAGGTAAGTTTGAGAAACCGGCTCGAGATACACTTTTTGTTATATTCCATGGAATGCTCTTAACATCCCGATAGCAATGAATATCTTAAGTGCTTTGACAAAAAATCCATAAAAAAATGTAATCTGTGGAAGCCGTAATACTGTAAAAAGCACGACCAATCATTTTAGCCGGCCCGGCTAAAATAACTGGATGGCCTACCTGCCTGTCAGCCTTCCATCTGTGCACAAACTTATCTCGTGCCCTCATTGGTCATGTGCGCGTTCGTGTGTGTTGGAGGAGGGGCTCTGTAAGGAAGTGGCAGATTTTCTCCGGTTGTGTATTTTCAAATTCTAGCGATCTCGAGCCGGTTTCTCAAATGTACCTACCCTACCTTTAACTAAAGGATTACAGATTAAATGAAAGAGCCCATCAATTATATTTAGGTTGTTTACTTCAATACTCTTTCATCTAATGCCTATTAAAAGAAAAACTATTTACAGAGCCTATTCAAATATGTAAATCAGGCTGAAAAGATTAAATACAGACACCCTGGTGCACATAAGGACAAGGTGGTAAAACAGGAGTTTGTTTGCTAATGACTGACTAGACAGATGAAAAACTTCTTTGATGCTCCGTTCAAGGTTCACTTCAGTTATCACAGCTAGCGAGATTGAAATCAAACCACACAGGCTTACGACCAACAAGAGCCTCATAATCAATCAGAACAATATTATTATTTAATGTAAAATATGGGAACAGAGTGAGCCAGCAGCAGATACTTGTGTAGAAGTTTTAATTCATATTTTTAGGCTGCTTTGGCGCTTTTTAACAGGATTTCTGTCACAGTAAAGAAGACCGAATACAAAGTGAAAAATGCTCTGCCGGCGTGAAACATAACTTGCGTAACCTGGAAAACTACAGACCCTGCATAAAGAGCACACGTCAGGACAAGAAGCATGAACCACAGTGTGAAAAAGCAACAGTTACATACCATTTTGACTTCCTGGAGGCTAAAGTGTGGAATTATTTTCGAGTTCTCAAAGAAAGTTAATACTTAAGATTATGATCCGTAAAAAAAGTCTTACATTAAATACAAAAGCCAGTATCCTACTTCTGTAGCAGATTACATAGAAAATAGAATAGTCCTCTCTGATGAACACACAAGCAGTACTGGCTGCAGGGAGTTGTGTGTGTCAACGGTTAAAAGTCCCAGCGCTGAACAAAGTGACTCCAGGGCATTAGCATCATGACTAGAGTATAACAAAGATATTGCGAAAGATGTCACATGGCAAACAGGGAAAAAAAAGGAATTTACAATCCAGTGATATTGAAAGGGTGTGGAGAAAACCCCACCCTTCCTCTTTCTAAAGCGGTGCAAATCAAGAGGACATGTGTTATCTGCTGTGTTTTTGGGAGGTTTTATGATAAAAACCGGTTTTGTCCTCTTCTCCAGTGTTGTCAAACAGTAATTCCCTGAGCAAACAGAGCGTAAAGACAGCCTGTGGCCAAGTTTTCCAGCTCTTTTCTAGAATAAAACACAAAAACCTAACTGAATAGCCTCTCTCGGATCAAGGATTTTAGTAATAATAATAAAAAGTTGAAAAAAAAAGTGAAGAATGATACAGTACCTCCGGGTCGCTGGAACTCGTTCACAAATCCACGCGCCGAAGCAGTATAAACACTAAAAACAGCGTACGTAAAGTATCCTGTGTTCAGTGTATGTTTAAGCGTTGTATGGCTACCTGCCGTCCCTCTAAGCAAAGCTTCTACTTTTAGCTCTGCGCTAAGCATTCCTCTTGTATTTACTCACAGCAATGACAAATGTCAGGTAGGTGGAGATATAGAACCATATCTGTGTGCATTATGCTCTACTTCCTTATCTGCCAGCCAACGCTCTGCTTCATGCTCTGATCTCAGCAGCCGATAATAATCAATAATAAAGGCACACACAGGAACAATAGTGTTGATCCTAAGTACAGCAGGGTATTGGATCTTTCAGACTCCATGCCAAAGTGTAAACAAGGCGGGATGGCTGTCATATTAAACCTGGGAACATTCACCACTTCCCGACTCCCACCGACACAAATATATCCAGGAGCAGGTTTGACGGGTTTGATGATAATAGCACACAGACAATGAGATCCCATAGGACTATTGTCATCTTATCTTAAAGTGGAGGCACACTTTCACTATCACTAAATATCTACTTTAAATCAGATATGACATGCTGTCTGTCACTTAGCATTAAGCTTTGTTCCCTGGAGGCAGACGTGAGAGGAAGCAGTGTGAAAGTCAGAATTTGGAGAATGATCTGGAATGGGAAGCTTAAATAAGAAACCTCGGAAAAGTCAAAACAGCTACAAAAAAGCTATAATATTTTCACTTAGTAATACTACAGAAGACATAGTTTAAGTTCTTAAAGGAATATGTAACTATTCCTTTAAGAACAGTTACAGGAATATGTAACTATTTTTACCTTAAAATACCAGCATCAAAATCCTTTTAATGCTACGTTGACTCGAAGTAATGAGAATTAATTCCTCAGTCCAACTGTTCGCCACAATCTCTTTTTTTTGCAATACGTAAATGTAGTTAAGTTGAAGAAGTGCCTAATACTTTATGGGACTACGTTGATTTTGTTGAAACTCCATCATATTTTAAGGAGAAATTGTATTTTCAGGTATGTTGCTAACAGTAGCTGATATCAGCTAGTGAGCGGTTAGCTGAGATGGCTGTGCTGCAAGGACATCATCTTACTTTAACCTAAATATAAATAGATAAAAGTACTTAAAATATCAAATGTACTGTAAAATAACATATGAAGAAAATAATAATGAAGAAATTGCCCCTCTAAGACGCATTATTTTATATATTATTGAATTATTATTGCAGATGCATTCATTTGAATGAATACATTTCTCTAGTAGTTAGTTAATGCGACCCAAACTTTATTGCAAAACAGTGCATGATATTTTAAAGGGGCCCTGTTGTGCTCATTTCGGGCTTCATATATATATATATTAGTGTCTCTACTGGGACATGATTACATGCTTTAATGTTCACAAAGCTCTTAATTTTTTTTTCTCTTTTCACCCTCTGTCTGAAACCAGAGCCCAGTCTGCTCTGATTGGTTAGCTGTCCGGCTCTGTTGTGATTGGTCAACTTAGAGATGTCCCGCCCCTTAGTCTATCAAGTTCAATGTGTAAGACCGTTAGCCAAAATAAGCGTGAGTATTACATAGTGTTCTCACTATGGGTGTTTCTCAATCTCGAGTAAAGCTGCTCCAGAGCCACTATTTCAAGCATACTACGTCATCGAGTGCCGCCGAAGTACTGTTCCAATGTCCAGCATACTTGGAATTCTACCGAGCCCGGCATACTTCGTTTGGAGAAATGTTGAGGCTGCACATGTTAGGGCTGCTCGATTAAGGCAAAAATCATAATCTCGATTATTTGGGTCAATAATTGATATCACGATTATTAAAAACGATTATCCATTTACTTTGAAAACATCAATTTATTGGAGAAAAACTATTTGAACAGTATGTTTTTAACAGTTGATTAGCCTGAACTTTAAGTATAATTCAACTGAAAAACCAAAAAAAAAAAAAATGTAATTTGAAAAAAAAAAAAAAAGTAATAATAATAATAAAAAAATAATCGTTTTATTTCGATTACGTTGTTTTCGTAATCGTTGCAAGCCATAATCGTAATTGCGATTAAAATACGATTAATTGAGCAGCCCTAGCACATGTGTAGACTCCGCGGTCTTAAAATCCCCACAATGCTTTGCGCACGGACCAATTTCCCCAAATCTGTGGCGGAAGATGTAAGGCGGGGCCTCTCATATGACGCACACCTGCACACTTGCTAGCCTGTTCCACTCTTTGTTTTGCGAATGCCAGGAAGTATTCTTGCCTCGCTTCTGAAGCAAGTGACTTGGAAGACATGTGCTACCAAGCAAGCGTACTCGCGATTGAGAAACACCCCCTGTGTCAGGTAAGTAAACAAAGGAGTCCAATGGAGGCCTTTCAGTCAGGGGGAACTTTGGGATTTTAGCCTTTACAGATCATTTATATGCAAAAAAAACCTATATAACAAACTACAGGAGCAAATAAGGGACAACCCTAAAAGCATAAGAGGGCCTCTTTAAATTATCATCATATGTTTTGCATAAAGAATATTATGCATTTAACTAGTAACTGAAAGAAATGCTGTTAAAATAATGTAGTAAAGAGTACAATATTTCCATTTGAGATTTAGTGGAGCAGAAGTTTAAGTAGCAAAAGCAAAAATACCAACAAGTACCTCAAAATGTTCTTTAAAAGTACTTGAGTACTATTAAGTAGAAGAAAGTCAAAACATACTCAACATTACTATTTATTTCTAATTTTACATTCCTTATTTATTTGCCTTACAAAAGTGTGTTAGTTTCTCAGAAACAATTGCTGGTTGTCAATATAGTTCCTACCTCTGTTTTATACAACAAAAGCAACAGAACTATTATATCTGTTAGATTATTGCAAGAAGAAAAAAGACAAATAGAAATATGAGGTTGAAGTCATGAAATCAATGCTTTTCTCAAGATTGTTTTAAAGCATTTTACAGCTGCTGTAACAACTATTATAAGACTGCAGACACAGCACTTTTGAAATATGCACACACACACACACACACACACAAACTGATCCAAAACAGTTTCGTTTTTTTACTCCAACACCGATTATACATGTGTGAATAAAACCAACCTTGACGAATTTGGAGGATGAGGAAGGGTGGTGTGGCTGGTTCATGTCAAAGCTGATCATGGAGGAGGACTCAGGGTCCCAGTCCGACTCTGTGCAAACACTGATCTGGTCGAAGCTCCTGGTGGAGAGAGGCAGGAAACAGAGAGAGGGGGGGGGGGGGGGGGGGGGGTGTTATGTCATTGGTCTTTGTTTCTGCTCTCATGAAGAGTGCTGTTGTTTTTACAGTCACTTCATCAAAGTCCCTGTCCTGACATTTTGTACGGTAACTGATTTCTCAAGGACAAACTGTTATTGTTACAATTTCAATGTGACTTCAAGATACAATTGAAAAAAAACATGTGATAGACAAACACAACATTGTTAATGACTGATAATAACATAAAGAGATGCTTATGGTAGGAATAATATAAAATATAATATTCTATAAGTAACAAAAGAAATATAGTGTTAATAACAAAATAGAACAATATTGAAAGTAGGAATAAAACGAGATATCTAATAGTCAAAATCAGATCAGAAATCCTTTATTAGTCCCACAGCGGGGACATTTACATTGTTACAGCAAAAGTGGCATAGCAGTTAAAAAAGGCATGCAATAACACAGATGCTTTAACATATTCATATATAGAAGAAAAGCACACATTAGTTATACTAGAATACAAATAAAGACCAATAAGTGGGTAAGTACACATCCATGGGTAAAAATGATGAGCAGCAACTTCAGAACTGTGTGACATATGTAATGTAAGGTGTTGAGACATTATACAAATTACATTTTTTTTTAAATGTTGGGACAATCATTACAATTAGTCTATAAATAACAAAATAAAATCTTCTGAAAATAAAAATAAGTTAAGTAGGGATAATATAATATATTAGAAGATTAAATATACTAATAATACGATGAAATAAATACATGTTAACTGAGGGATAATATAATATAACTTATCTTCTATAAATAACTAAATAAAATCTATTGATAATAAAAAATAAAGAGATGTTAATAGCAAAGATAATATAAGATATGTAATATTCTATAATTAACTAAATAAAATCTACTGAAAATAAAAAGAAACAGAGATATTGAAAGTAGGGATAATAGAATATAAAAAGATTAAATCAATTTTTTATTAAAAAAAATACATATATCAACTGAGGGACTAAAAAAAGAAAAGCTGATGACAACTAAATATTATAATTAAAGAATAAAAAGTTGGTGGAAATTAAAATAATGGTTAGTAGTACCGGTACTTTTTTTGATTAAATGTAACATAATGTCTAGTCCAACAAGTAACATATGATTATGGGCCGTCCCCTGTCAGCTGCACTGGCACCTCTTAGTGTTTTCAACTGCGGTGACACTTTCCACTTAGCATTGGGTTGGAAAACAGGGTTGGAGACAGACAATATGACACTTGAAAGGCAACATTCACTCCCCAGCGGCAAAACATACACTCTCAGTAATTAGAGTGCAGCGGAGGATTGTAGGACACGTGCGAGGCATGAAGAGGTGCATCTATTTCAGGGAGGAGTGGCTTTTCTGCAGCTCAAGTATTTACAGAAGGATCACACCCAGTCTGGAGCTAGAGAGCAGCAAGATAAGAGAATGACAGACAGCGTTCCACCTCATTTCAACAGGAGAGGAGCCACAGCTGCTGTCCTGTATTGTGTCTACGGGATAGTACTGTCATATGACACGATCCTGGGTTCACAAACATGGCTGCCTCCAGGTGTGATGTCAGAAATTCTCCAATAAGAACAACATATCCAAATGTCACTTAGGTGAGGACATTAATCCAAGGCTTGAGTGTACTGTAGAATATTGTTTGACAAGATAACATTAAAGCAGTATATTCTGAACCGATCCAGACATTGTTTCACATTTACATTTCAACCAGAATGCTTGTAAAACTGATATCCACCCCTCAGTGCAATATAAAACCAGTGTATATATAAGAGGTCAATTTATTTAGGGGTAAATAACTTTTTAGACCACATAATAGAGTTGTACGTGTTCGTATTAAATAAGTCTTAGAGTATAGAGTACAAGCACATGCATTTATTTCATGTTGAAACAAATACAAACTAATATTTAATAGAAATGAATGTAAATAAAGAAATGGGAAATAACCGAAGACTTCCTTGATTACTTGCAGTTAACACAAAAGTAGAGAATACATCTTAAGACTTAAGTTTTAGACCTTAGTTTCATGACAGTAGAATGTAAGACTTTTAAGGACCCACTAAAACCCTGTTATTTTTACCTTAAAGGTGGGGTATGTAATTTATTTCAGAAACACTTTTTGTTATATTCCATGGAATGCTCTTAACATCCCGATAGCAACGAATATATTAAATGCTTTGACAATAAATACATAAAATAATTTCATCTGTGGAAGCCGTAGTACTGTAAAAAGCACGACCAATCATCTGAGCCGGCCCGGCTAAAATAACTGGATGGCCTACCTGCCTGTCAGCCTTCCATCTGTGCACAAACTTATCTCGTGCCCTCATTGGTCATGTGCGCGTTCGTGTGTGTTGGAGGAGGGGCTCTGTAAGGAAGTCTGAAGGAAGAGGCAGATTTTTTTCGGCTGCGTAGTTTCAAATTCCAGCGCACTCGAGCTGGTTTCTCCAAAATTACATACCCCACCTTTAACAATCCTTATTGTATCCGAAGAAGTAAAAAAAAGCTTTTAAATTCAGATTGGAATAAGTTATCTGTAAATACAATATGTCCCTACCTATTTAAGAATGATTTGCTTTAAACCATTAATCATGTCTATTACTGTTTCTTTATTTAGATTCTTTATTTGTATTGACCGTCTACTGTGGTTGTAGATTCTTTCTGAGTGTGTGTTTGGAGCAGCTTATGATGCTCTCGCGGGGTGTGTCCTGAAATAAGACAGCATAATGTTGCCACCTGCGGCAGTAGCTCCCTTTTTTCCACGGCCACAATAACCAGGACGAGTCTCTGCAGTGCAGTGTTTCCCCACAAGGGGGCAGAGCTAGATCAGCTTTTCAGATATCTGGCAGAAAGACAATTCAGTTGACATGAATGACTGTTCTGAAGCCTTTGTCTGTGTTCAAATGTGGGAAGACGAGAGGTCTGACTGGTTTACCGACTGAGAAAGAAATACGGAAAACAGTTAATAATAGCAATTACCAATAGCAGTTAAATTATGAATTAGAGCGCTAGATCTAGGGCTTGTGCCTTCTGATTGTAAAGTGTTTACATTCTTGTGCAAGCTGAGCTGCGGGATGAGTGGGCCACGCCTCACCTGGTGTGACCCTCAGTAACTTTACTCTTGTTAAAACAGACTGAATGTGTACTTTGCTGGAGCTATTGAAACCTCATGATGATATTGACATGATCTAATAGAGATATGAACAGTTATATCACCATCTTGTTCATGGGTTCACTTTGATGTAATCATTGTTCTTTTTTTTAAATTACATTTTTGTTATCGACAGATACAAAGACCTTCAGTGAAACAAGAATGAAATGACACAGAGGATGAGGGATTTTTCTGCATGATGTGTTTGTGTGCGTGAAGAAGATGTTTTGTGAGTTATTGTTCAGAGTGATTGAACAACACTTCTGACTCCCTCACCCCACTTGAATCCAAACTGCAATGTTAACGAAAGTGAAACACAACTTGTTTTTCTGGCCTGTGTTTCAGATCAGCGCCAAACATGTACTTTCTGTTGCTTCACACTATCATCAAAGTATTCTGTCAGTAGCTTTTCCATATTCCAGCTGATAAACAGACAAACTGAGCCAAAACCACAACCCACTAATATTAATAATAAATTACATTCAGTGTAATTACAATAGTGTAGAAGTGTTTTAATATTATTTAAAGAGGACATTATGCTCATCTTCAGGTTGATGTTTGTGTTGTGTGTCTCTACTGTGACATGTTTCTATGCTTGAATGTTTAAAAATCTCATACTGCCTGTGCTGCAGCACCTCTTTTCACCCTCTGTCTGAAACCAGAGCCCAGTCTGCTCTGACTGGTTAGCTGGCCAGCTCTGTTGTAATTGGTCAACCGCTTAGAGATGTCCCGTCTCGTTAGCCCATCACGTACAATGTGTTGGAGCGCTAGCCAATAGAAGCATGTATGTCACTGATGGCACTTGTCTCAATAGCCTGTTTTAAATTGAAGTTGTCTGAGGTCCTTACCACCAGCTGCTCTTGCAGTAATAAGTAGTGTACCTTTCTTACTGTCCTAATGTGCACAATGTAGTGACTGCTTTTCCTCTTTTTGTTTACTTAGTTGTGTTCTCTGTATTTTATATGTCTGTGTTATGTGTAATACAAATGTGTAACGTTGCTGCCTTCTTGGCCAGGTCAGCATTGTAAATGAGATTTTATCTCAATGCTTTTATCTGGTTAAATAAAAAATAAATAAAAAAAGTATGTAATTTAGTGATGTCACTATGTTACAGAAGCAAACAAAGGAGTCCAATCGGGCATTTCAGGCAGTGTGGGAGAGAAACTCACAAACACACTACAGGAAAGGGAAAAACCCAACAAGAACAAAGGGCCCCTTTAAGATCCGATATGCTTCACCCTGTCTGACTACATTTCTTATGATTCCTTAAATGCTTCTCAACATCCTCCAGGGAGCAACACGCAGGAACATGTTGCTTTGAATGAAATATGGTCATATGGATATATTGTAACCGCAGAATCTGATCAAGCTGACGCATGTAGATGAAGACAGCTCTTAACGAGGATTATAGCTCCTGCAGCAGGAGATGCAGGGGAGCCGTTGCTGCCTCCAGCATGTGAACTGATTTATAGTATGTCATTGACATCATCAGGCTGCGTCCTGTATTCAGTCTAAGTTAGTGTTATCTAAAACCAGGACTTGCTTAAAGTCTTTGTGATAAAGGTTTCCTGGTAGCAAAGGAACCAGGCACAAACCAGCTCCGACTTGTTTGAACCTTCTCTCTGTTGCAACAGACAAAGGCTCCACAGCGCACAGTTTATTAGATTTTAACAAGGAAGTTAAGTGTTAAACCATGGCATCTCTCAACAACTTCTGGGGGTACAAATGTTTTTTTTCTTAAGGGAACCTTCGCTGTCACCTTGTCCTTATTTGTGTCACTGTG